GACAGCCTCGCCCGGAGCAGCTGCATTCCCGACTGCGAGCCGGGCACCTACTTCGACTCGGAGCTGGTCCGCTGCGGGCAGTGCCACCCCACCTGCAAGACCTGCGTGGGTGAGTGCCTGGCCGGCCGGGCGCCGGGGTCGTGGGGCCCCCAGTCCTGGGACCCCGGTTCCCCGGTGGGTGGGCGGCTCCCCTCTGGGACCTGAGGAAGCCCCTGGACCTCCCGGGCGGCTGTGAGGTTTGTGGCATCAAATACCAAGATGGGGGGGGGGGGGGCTACAGTTTATAGGCGTGAAGTGTGAATTGGGGAAAATGCAAAGGTTGTGGGACCCGGCCGGGGTGGCTCGCTGGTTAGCGCGTCGCCCTACGAACCAGGAGGTCAGGGTTCGATTGGGGTCCAGCCCCATGTCACGTGGGCGGAGCCAGACAGGGGCGGCTCTCTCGCAGGAGCAGGGCCTGCTGGGAAAGGAAGCATTTGGAACCAGGGCCCATGAACTTTTGTTCGTTTTTTATTTCCTTTTTCTTTTTTTAAATATATATATTTTTTGTTTGTTCTTTTGTTCCTTTTTTTGTTTCTTTTTTATTTTTTTTCTCTTTTTCTTTTTTTTGGGGGCCCCCCCCCCCGCTGTGGGGAGCTGTGCTGAGCTTGGCTCAGGCCTCCATGTGTCCATCTGTGAAATGGGTGTGTGCTGCCCCCTAGAGGGTGAGGATGGGGAGGGCCCGGCGCGGGCACAGGGTGGGCACCCGGGAACCTGGCTGGGCCAGGACCCCGGCTCTCAGGCGGCAGCCGGCCGGGCGGGAGGTGGGGGGCTGTCCCTGATGTCGGCTCCTTCTCCCCCCTCCCTCCCCCCGCCGGGCCCCAGCAGGAAGGAATGCATCCACTGCGCCCCCAACCTCCATTTCCAGGACTGGAAGTGTGTGCCCGCCTGCGAGGGCGTTACTACCCCGAGGCCATGCCGGCCTGCCCCACCGCGCCTGCGGAAGGACCGTGCCGCCGGCGGTCTTTATTAATGGTAATTGATAACAGAGGGAACGGAAGGAAGAAAAAGGAACATCACCGATAGGAGAATCATGGATGGGCTGCCTCCTGAACGGCCCACACTGGGAACCGAGCCCG